TGTTTTATAGACGCAAATGACACATCAAATAACGGAAAAGACAGATCATCCTTGAATTTTTCAGGAATATAATGTTGTTTATCAATTTAACCATGTGAAGTAGTAATGAAAGGAAATACAGTTGATACAGGAACATGTACCATTACACGCCGTAATGCCTAATTTATGAGCTGTTAAAGGTGATGAATTCAGGTCTCTATACACACTCTCACATAGTCGGTTACCTGACGAGTGACTGGCTCTGCCATTGGAAGATGAGTTCATAGTTCATGCTGTAAATTTTTTAGCACTAAACGCCATCGAAAAGCGACTTAATTTGGGATTGCTGAACTGTATAGTGGAGTTTTATAGACACAAACGACACCTTACTCTCCACGGATTTGTTTAGAAGATAGAGTGTCAAATAACAAAAAAAAACAGATTTTCCTAGAATTTTCCGGGAACTCAACGTTCTTTATCAATTGGGTCATGTAAAGCATTAGCTAAAGGAAATGCACTTTATACAGAAACAAATCTCATTGTGCACCCTGATCCTTAATTTATGAGCTGTTCAAAGAGCTTGTTTTGGGTCTCTATAGATACCCTCACAGAGTCTGTTACCTTGCGAGTGACTCGCCCCACCCTTGCAAAATGAGCTCATAGTGCATGCCATCAATTCTTGAGCAAGAAACGCGATCGAAGGGCGATTTAATTTGGAATTGACGAAGTGCACTGTAGTGTTTTATAGACGGAAATGACCCATCAAATAACGGAAAAGACAGATCATCCTTGAATTTTTCAGGAATATAATGTTGTTTATCAATTTAACCATGTGAAGTAGTAATGAAAGGAAATACAGTTGATACAGAAACATGTACCATTACACACCGTAATGCCTAATTTATAAGCTGTTGAAGGTGGTGAATTCGGTTGTCTAAACACACTCACACACAGTCGGTTAGCTTGCGAGTGACTCGCCCCACCCTTGCAAGATGAGCTCATAGTGCATGCCATCAATTCTTGAGCAAGAAACGCGATCAAAGGGCGATTTAATTTGGAATTGATGAAGTGCACTGAAGTGTTTTATAGGCGCAAATGACCCATCAAATAACGGAAAAGACAGATCATCCTTGAATTTTTCAGGAATATAATGTTGTTTATCCATTTACCAATGTGAAGTAGTAAGAAAAGGAAATGCAGTTGATACAGGAACATGTACCATTACACACCGTAATGCCTAATTTATGAGCTGTTGAAAGGGCTGAATTCGGATGTCTAAACACACTCTCACACAGTCGATTATCTGACGAGTGACTCTCTCTACCTTTGCAAGATGGGCTAATACCTTATGCCATCAATTATCTAATAGTAAACGCGATCGAAGGGCGATTTAATTTAGAATAAATGAAGTGTGTTGTGGAATTTGAGCGACACTAACAATATTGTCTCCTGCACGACCTTGCTCTCTACCTGGAGCTCCAATAATGCAAAAATTAGATATTTCGTGAATTTACATAAAGGGTTTATACTTTGGAATGAATAAATAACAATGCCGTTTTTACATATGCATTACCGAACTGTCTTATTTATTGAAACTAATGTTTGAATCACACCATTTTCCATCAGCAAAAACTTCAAATGGCTGCCATACAAAAGCGAAGCGGTTGCAACCCCAATGATGACTTCTTCTTAGGACACATTCTATATGCAGATACTTTTTCGAAATGGTTAAAGTATATTAAATCCAACGTGATGTAAAATGAAAATCTACAATTTAATTTTTTAATATGTTGGCTAAGATTCAAAATTTATGCCAATATTATTAGCAATGACTTCTGAAAGTTATTTATAAGTAAATCCAAACTACGTTTTAGTAGTATGTATTCAAAAATCTATACAACATTCGTCACATGTAAACAAACTTAATACATCTGCCAGAAACGTATCGAACGGTAGGTACTTTTTTAAAAATATTATGACATTGAAAATAGAATAGTAAACTACAAAATTTGACTGAGTAACCAAAAATAATTTAAGACACCCACTATTTTCAACAAGTGATTCTTTTTGAGAAGCCAACATATGCAATTCCCATATTCCTAAGTAACTTCACCTACTTACTATTTATTCCTAAGTAACTATTAGTATCGGTCAATATCTTCATTATCAACGTATCTTCCTTTAATAATTTTAATTGTTAACATATGATTCGGTAATATCTTCAATTTATAGGTCATTATTACATTGTATGTTAAGTAATTAACATATTATTGGTCAATAGTTTTAATGATTAGTGTATGGTGCTATAACTGGGTCTTATAGTACAGTTAATTATGTCAAAAAAGAGGGTCAACCACGGAATGAGAGATAATAAGCTGTAAATTTGTACAAACCTATATTTTGCCATTTTAAATATTGTGTCTAAAGTAACATAAAGTCTCGTGTCCGCATCTTAAGATATTCAAGGTCAAAGGTCACTAAAATCGATTTTTCGCTAATATCTTGCCTCTTATGGTTTCAATAACATTTGCAACTATTATAAAAATTGTAGGAGATAAAGTTTATAGAAGTTTTGTTCCAAATATTTTTTTATACGCTTAACTGTTCCTGAGGTAGAGCGCGGTGAACCCGCAGCACTTAGTCATACGTGCCATAATGCGAAGTCCTAATTATTAGTACGTCTTATAATGTTAATTAATTACTAAAACATCCATAGTTACAAGTAACTTCTGTTATTCATTAATTAATACATTATATTTAATAATATTTTTCATTGATCGAATATATTCGTTTAATAGTACTTATCTAGTTCGTAATAGGACACCTTCTCAGGCATGAAGGTCTAGTCAGAGACTTATTAGAAGCAGAAACGGGAGTTAGGAGGGGTAGAGGTAGACCTAGATTAGATTACAGTAATAGTTAAGGATGTGGGTTGTTTTAGTTTTAGGGAAATGCGAAGATTAGCTCAAGATAGGAATGAGTAAAGGTTGGACACGAGTCTTAGGACTGACGACCTTATGATGATGATGATGATGATGACCTAGTTCGTGTAACTAAAAAATTGTTAAGTAATTAGAATACTTTATGTTATTTCTGAACAACATGTATGACAGCGTAACAAATGAATTTCGAGAGCCTTTGCGAAAAATGAAGACTTATTCTGGAGAATTCGATGACAATATAAATAGACTTCTCTTATGCATTTCTAAGGCATCATTGTGAAAAATATGATTTACATAACTTTGAACCTGTAGAAACTACGAGGATATGGTAAAGAAATACCAGAAATGCAAAAAATATACACATTACTAATGTACTTTTAGTAACAACGTTGACAGCTTTTTGCAACACAAGAGGAAGATATTAAAAATTGCAAATATATGTCACAATCAGTGTCGGATTAAACAGTAATCGGACCAAGCAGTTGTGGGTGTACCGAGTTTTTAAAAATCCCTTTCGTACAAATATATTTTTCACCAATGTTTTTTTTATTTACTTTATTAATAGTACGGATATTTAAATTACATACTTAGAAGTTACTTATGTTAGGTTCTGTACATTTTCAACATGCTNGTCTTATAATGTTAATTAATTACTAAAACATCCATAGTTACAAGTAACTTCTGTTATTCATTAATTAATACATTATATTTAATAATATTTTTCATTGATCGAATATATTCGTTTAATAGTACTTATCTAGTTCGTAATAGGACACCTTCTCAGGCATGAAGGTCTAGTCAGAGACTTATTAGAAGCAGAAACGGGAGTTAGGAGGGGTAGAGGTAGACCTAGATTAGATTACAGTAATAGTTAAGGATGTGGGTTGTTTTAGTTTTAGGGAAATGCGAAGATTAGCTCAAGATAGGAATGAGTAAAGGTTGGACACGAGTCTTAGGACTGACGACCTTATGATGATGATGATGATGATGACCTAGTTCGTGTAACTAAAAAATTGTTAAGTAATTAGAATACTTTATGTTATTTCTGAACAACATGTATGACAGCGTAACAAATGAATTTCGAGAGCCTTTGCGAAAAATGAAGACTTATTCTGGAGAATTCGATGACAATATAAATAGACTTCTCTTATGCATTTCTAAGGCATCATTGTGAAAAATATGATTTACATAACTTTGAACCTGTAGAAACTACGAGGATATGGTAAAGAAATACCAGAAATGCAAAAAATATACACATTACTAATGTACTTTTAGTAACAACGTTGACAGCTTTTTGCAACACAAGAGGAAGATATTAAAAATTGCAAATATATGTCACAATCAGTGTCGGATTAAACAGTAATCGGACCAAGCAGTTGTGGGTGTACCGAGTTTTTAAAAATCCCTTTCGTACAAATATATTTTTCACCAATGTTTTTTTTATTTACTTTATTAATAGTACGGATATTTAAATTACATACTTAGAAGTTACTTATGTTAGGTTCTGTACATTTTCAACATGCTTTTTAAATTTTAGGTTTTCTTTTCTGTCTAATTTGCTTTTAATTGGTCAGTTGTTTTTATCGCTCAGGACTCCGCCACAGCTGAGATTTCATAAATCTACTCGTATATTCATGACATGTCCTCTGATATATACATATGCATAGTTACAGTTATAAAGTTATGAGTTGGGTCCAGGGGCTTTGTCATCTTACTATGTATTTTAATAATATTTGTTTATTAAGCAATCGAAACAAAAAGAATACCTTCATTAGCTAAACTTTTGTTTTAACTAAATGAAAAACGAAAACATACAGTTTTGTATATTATATGACAAACTGTCTCGAGATTCGTCTATTAATTTCTGCAAAATGTGTGTTATTGTATGAGTTCCTTCTTAAAATATTCCTTAGTCACGATCCATGTACATATTTACACCACTTATAGAACTAGCACAAATATATAAATTATAAACTGTTATAAAATATCAAAATACAGATTTAAATTTTAAATTTATTACTAAACAGGTGACATTTTGGGAAACATTGTTTATTATATAATATTTTTTTTTAATTGCAGCGTCATCCGAAGTAAAAATAACAGACCTGAAAGTCCCCAAATATCTCCAGAAAGAGGAAGACAAGTCTGTCATATTAGACTGCGATTACGAATTTAGTAAAGACGAAGACGTAGAAATTAAATGGTATTACAATGACGACAAGAATCTGATATATCAATGGATTCCACAAAGGAGTAAACCACAAGCCGTGGGGGCATTTAGAGGCGTAATTGACCCAACGTACAAAGTGTCAAATGATGCTAACAAGGAATATAGAGCTATCCTGCTCAAGCAAATTACTCCTGCACTATCTGGAAATTACACGTGTAAAATTTCTGGAATATTCCACGAAGACGTCGAAACAAAGAAAATGATCATTTACGGTAATTGTTCTTTTATTTCTTATCCTATGTTACATAACTGGTAACAATAATCTGTAAGTAATCATATAATTTTGAAGTGATTGTCCAATTGACAGTTGACTTCAATACCACTATAAACATTAAAACTTTTGGGTGTTTCATTCCCACCAGCCAGTAATGCTGGTGGGCGGGCAGTCCCTCCGGACTATGCCGGAAAGTAGGGCGAAAGGCCCTCTTCAGCCTGCTTTCAGGAAACGTGGGAATGGGTGGGTGGTGGTTCGGGTGAGAAAGATGAGATGGACGAAATGAAGACAGAAGAGAGTGAAAGATTATCTGTGGAATATTACTGCCTCAGCATTTGCCTAGGTGATCCAAGGAAACCACAGAAAAACTTGGACAAAGGCAGACGGACCTGGAATCGAACCGGCGTCCTCCCGAATGCTAAGCAATGGTCTAGACCTCCAGGCCATGCCGCTCGGTCAATACCACTATATCAACCATGCATCCACTTACAAACATTTTGTTTGCCTGACAGAACACAACACAACTGTGTACTATTAGTCATGTGGACAGAACCACTATGAACTTATTTTGTTTCTGAGTCTTTTGCATGCATAGACACATGTAACTTTGATTTGGTTACACTCACGACAATATATTCTTAATCTACAAATTCTATGTACCTACGCACTCTTTACTTTTTCTATCGTTTTCTCTATTGTTACTCGTAAAGCTAGAACAGCCTCCCTGGTTCCTCTATTTCTTCTAAACCCAAATGGATCTCATAATAAGTTTTCTTCTCTGTACAATTCTACTTAAAATTTTTGACGCATGGGAAGTTAAGCTGTTCTAAATGTCCGCACCCATCCACGCCTCTCTTTTTAGGTATGGTTACTACCACTTTCCCTTTATACTCCTTTGGGATTTTCCCCATCTCGTAAATATGACTAACTGACTTAATCATACAATCATTAATTTATGGTATTCGTAACTACTGTTTATGAATTTAGGCCAATCCAATCTCTCACGTTCTTGAGCCATTAGCATTGCTTGCTGGCGGACTGCATTCTATCTTCAATATTTCTCTTTATTATTAAGCTAAGAAGTTCGTATTTTCCACCTCTATTACATGACCTAGGTAGGGGTTGTCTTTTGTATTTTTGATAATTTCCAGAACTTTTCCGTTCATATTCATTCTTCTAATGACAGTCACATTGATAATGCGTTCCGTCCATGATAGTTTAAGCATTCTCTCATTAGTCATATTTCAAAGACTTCATCGACCTGGCTCCCAACGTCCAAGATTCAGTTGCATACTTTGGTGTTCACATTTATATTTTCGGAAACAGCCATTGACATTGTTTCTGATGTGTTTATTTTAGGACCAAATGCATCACCCTCAGTCGTTATTACACCAATAAGGTTTTGAAGACCTTTTTAGCATTTCGTAAATGATTTGTGAGTCTTTCATTCCCACTTTCTTAAACTTTTTATAGTGCTCTCTAAAGTATTTTTTTTTTTTCATTAGAACTTGAAGAGAGTTAGGGATGATATCCCTATCTTCTGATTGGAACACAGGTGATCAGTGTTTCTTCTATTTTTGCACATGCTGTTTACTACCAATATAACTTTTTAATTAAGTTTTTATCGTTCTGGTCTAATTCTTATTCATGCAATATATTTATCGATACTGAATGCCTTATTTGTTCAAGGACAACTTGTGATTGGTCTTTGCATTTTTGAAGCAGGACAATAAGCCGAAACGCTGTTTCTCTAGTTTCAAAACGCAAACGGAAACTAAATTGTTCCTCTCCTATATGCTGGTTGCATTTTGTATATGTATATTCGTTGATGTATGATTCCTAAAGTTATATCCAATGTATATGACCTGTCAGGCCAATCAGTTGATATTGTTAGCATTTCCTTCCGTGGTAATCGAAGTAAATGTAGATGAATCCAGGTCCAAATACGTTTGGGAATTATAAACCATTAAAACTAAACCTTTATAGTAATACATGGTCACAGAGCGTAACATTTTCAACACGCATCAAAACCATTCCTCTTTAGTCGGTTGTGTTGCGTTATAACCATAGGCTTAGAAAGGTAAATTAAGACCAATGCGAGTGCACTGGAAGTAGAAAGAAAAAATGGAAAACGTAAAACAAGGCAGTATCGTCACTCTATCTGGACACGTGCCACCTGGTTACACTTGGCTACATCACCATACAAAGAGTTCTTCAAGCGAATGTATTAATTACTTGCTATCTTCGTAGTTTCTTCCACTCAGCTGCACAAGAATATAAGTAGTATACGAGGTCTATTCAAAAAGTATTGCGAATTTTGAATTTCCGCTGGTTATGTTATTCGATTTCCGATTTTTTGTGGCGTTATGTTGGTATTCATGTCTCTCACTTATAAGTTCAGTCATGTTGAATCTTCAGTTAATTTTTGACAGCTGCTTTGCTTGTACGTGTTTTGGCTCGTCTTCGATTTTTGCTTATTCGAAAAAATGGATCAAAGAGTCTATGTCAAATTTTGTGTGAAAAACAAAATTAAGTGCGCGGACGCATTCCGAGTGTTGATTGTGGCATATGGTGATACTACCTTGGACCGAAGCAACGTTTATCGGTTGTACAAAATGTTCTCAGAGGGCCGAGAAGATGTGAAAGACGAAGAGCGTCCCAGACGCCCGAACACATCAACAACAGAGGAAAACATTGATGAAGTGAAGAATAGTATTGACCAATCGTCGAATCACCATTAGAGAAGTTGCTGAGGAGCTAAACATATCGATTAGCTCCTGTCATTCGATTTTTACCAATAATTTGGGTATGAGACGCGTCGCCACGAAATTGGTACCAGAATTGCTCAATTTCGACGACCCAAATTTGCTTCAGAGGGTCATAGCTGGTGACGAATAATGGGTTTATGGTTATGACGTGGATACCAAAGCTCAATCATCCCAATTGAGGCTGCTGCACGAGCCAAGACCGAAAAAAGCGCGCCAAGTTAGAACGAATCTGAAGGTTTTGCTTACAGTTTTCTTCGATTGCAGGGGCGTGGTGCATCATCAGTTCTTGCCACAGGGTAGAACGGCTAATAAGGAATATTACCTGGAAGTTATGCGCAATTTGCGCGAAGTAATTCGCCAGAAACACTGGGATTTGTGGAAGAACAAAAATTGGCTTTTGCACCATGATAACGCCCCTGCTTACACATCATTGCTTGTGCACGAAGTTTTGGCCAAAAACAACACACTAATAATGTCACAGCCACCGTATTCCCCAGATCTGCCCCCCCTGTGACTTTTTTGTTGTTCCCGAAACTGAAGAGGTCCATGAAAGGACGACGCTACGCTACGATGGAGGAGATAAAGACGGCATCGAAGGAGGAGCTGAACAGGATCATAAAAAAATATTTTTTGTGCTTCGAGGATTGGAAAAAACGTTGGCACAAGTGTATAATATCTGGTGGGGATTACATTGGGAGGCACAAAATAGATATTTATGAATAAATAATTTTTGAAAACACAAAATTCGCGATACTTTTTGGACAGACCTCGTAAGTGACAGTGGCGCACAATTCAGTTCTACTCCTATTTATAGCTTACCTTAAGTTCATTCAGTTCGTGCAAATTAATTATATTAGTTATGCAGCTGGAAACCTAAACAGAGAGGGTTTATGTGGCTAGTCGAATAATTCTACAATTCAGTTTTTCAAAACTTGTATGACTAAAGCAGAGTAGGTAGTTGAAGTCAGTTTTGTGATATGTGAAATATGAATTTGCAGAAAGTAAATTTAATCCTTAATCATATTTTATTAGAGAATTTTCCCTCCTAATTTGACCCAGGCATACGTCTACTTCAGTGTTACAGTATAGGTAATTTAAAATGACATGAATCTTGACGAAACACCACCGTCTATTCTACAGTTTATTTGGAGCTTCATCTTCATCCCTAGCTGTACAGAAACACACGATTAGAGTCTTTAGAATAACAGAAGGGCAATATTTTCTAAATATCCAATATCACTATAATGGCCGCCTCTCACTAATTGCTCATGTCATTCTAAAGTATCTATAACTATTTGAATACTATAAGTTTTGCCATGAATAATCAGGAAAATTACGGGTAAATGGATGTATTTTATTACAAAAACCACACCAACGTTTCGCCTCTAGGTGTGACACATTTTCAAGGTAGGTTTCACTCTTCGATTTAGTGATAAATAAATAATACGCCTAGTAACAAAGTATATCATAATAACCAGAGACATAAATATAGTAATACAGTTTAAAAAGTATAACACTAATTGGGGAAACAGGAAAAGGAGATGAGATTGAAAGTGGAAGGAATAGAAAAAGTTAGAAAATGTTAAGGGAGAGAAAAACGGTGACAAAATATATAAAGCTAGCGAAAGCAAACGCTTTATTAGGAACTGTATGGGGATGGGGTAAATATTATATAAGAAGAATTGGTGTAGAAGGAAAATGTTGGTTCAAGCGATGTAGGGGGTATGACAAGAATTGCCTGCAGGGGTGGGAGGGGTGTAATTGTTATCTTTTTTGCTATTAATATATATAGGTAACGTATTAATAAGTTTTAGAAATGTAGAAAAAACTTAAGGTTTCAATAAAACGTAATTGACAACACTAATAGGTACATCACACTGTATAAATATAACAACAACTAATGAGTAATAAAATATTAATATACTTCGTATTGCTTTTTGTAATAAAATATATCTTTACTACCCGTAGGTAATAACTGTGTACATTTCATTTGGTTATAGGTTTTATTTCTCTCCTTTTATAATAACCAGGATGGTACTGAAATTGATACACTACATAAGCAACAACATTACTTTTCTATGTTTTAGAGCCTGCAGAATCCTTTAGCATTCTGTATATTGAACAATCGAAGACCATCGTTTGTGAAGCACATGGACTCTCTCATGAACCGAAAATGGTCCTGTCTGCCGTTTATTTAACAGGAAGGTAAGAAAGTCCTTTAATAGAAATTTCTTAAATTTCTCCTTTTGTTAACTAATGATTTATTGTTAACAACTTTTACCGTCTAATTAATTTATTCATGGATGGACTTTTCGTCGAAAATAAATTATCAGAGACTAATTTAACCTCTCAAAGCTGTGAAAATTCAATTGATATGAAGCATTAGCGTTAGTCCTTTGAAATAAATATTACGATTTAAGTGGGAAACACAATGTTTTCCACAAATTCAAGACCTGTATTTTGAACTTTATATATATTTTTCCATTTTAGCAACGACACTCTTCCAAGTTTCGAAGAAGACGAATATATTATAGAAAACTCACAAGATTACGAGTACAATATAACAGCTATATATAAAGTATCGGATACGGCCCTGTCCGACTCAGTCAAATTTGAATGCATCCTTTCTCTTCCAGATACGGACTACGAAGTTAGAAAAAGTTATATTGTATACTCAGGTAAGACATTATTAAACACTCACTTTTTGTTTTTCTTTTGTCAAGAAATTTTATTATAAAATTATCAAATACTAAATAATAATAGAATGCCGTCTAACGTACTAAATATTTAGCTTTATGATCACAATGTCGCAAATTATCGTCATCTCGGTAATTTGTTACCAATTGGGGATTCAAGTGACATATATTCCGTATGACGTAAAGTGGAAGCTCAGGCAATAAAACTGCCAAGAAGTTACCGCCCTTCTTTACGCCTAATTGAAATTGCAATATTATGGCATTATTCAAACAAAACACATTTTGTATTCTGTTAACCACTTGCGCCTATTTTTTTCGTTGTTACGTTCTCATATTCGTAAATTTGCACGTCATTGTAATACGAACGTTCTCTTTTATTAAAACCTAAACAGAGGAAGTTCTATAACACATTTTGTCGAATTTCAGTTTCATGGACAGACTCGCGGAGAATTATTGTCCTTTAAAATTGTCACTAAATGAAGTTTGGACCATTCTCTTGTTTGCTACAGATGTCGGAAGTTCAACAAAATAAGCTTATAAATCTTTTGAAAGTTTTATTGCCTGAGCCGCCACTTTACGTGATACGGATACGGACTATAGTCGGTATCCACTTTGTCATTACTGTCTATGGCCTAAATTAATACCTCCGACAGATTGATGACCGAGACGTCTGGTTCTTACTTTTTCATGTTTATGAATTAGAATTCAAATTGATCTTTCGGTGACAAAAGCACTTGTCTAACATAAAAATTTGGCAAAGACTATAAAAACGTTTGATTTGATTACAATAATACCTAATAGAACAGTCTCAGAGTAATATTTGAAGCGTTTGATTCAAAACCGTAACAGTTGTTTACTCTATAGCATTACTAACAATGATTTTTGTCTCATAAATACTTACCTACTAATTTCTGAAAATTTTGTCATCATCAATAGGAATATCAAGCCTTTATCAATACGGAAATATGAGTGCGGAAATTAATAAAGGTACTGTTTAAAGTAATTGTTGAAAATTAGAAAGTAACCACCATCCCTCTTCTTTTCTCGGTTTTGCCCCTTAAATTCTATTTGATACCAGAAACCACTGTGTTGTTCAATCATAATTATTATTACCTATAGTTGGGACGATCTAAATTGGCAAAGACTGCAATAAATTATCTGTGAGAATGGACATATCTTCTTTCTTATTTCCACTTGGCACTGTAGTCATTTGCTGCATTTTGAACACGCTCATGTTAAGTTAGGGAATGTTTCATGAGTAGTACAGACTAAGTGAAAAGAGATAACCGAATAATAGTGCAGCGGTTAGAGATTGCTTAGGTACGAAAAAGGTCAGGGTTGGCTTTATAACTGCCTGATTGGAATTATATCTTTAAACAAGCGTCTTTAAAATAATTCGAAGTGGTCGGTACTCTTGTCGAAACTGCCAGACGCTTCGTACTACAGATGGCGTTTACCGCGCCATTTGTGGTATTTTCTAAAACGCGCTGTTAAGACAGCAGGTAAAAGTTGGTCTGTGTTCTGTCGGAGCTGCCTGCGACGTGCTGATGAGATCGAAAAGATCGAAATCGCGATCCGCGTCTGGCAGTTTCGACAAGAGTACAGACCACTTCGAATTATTTTATGCCCTTGTTAAGTTAGGAAATGCTTCATGAGTAGTACAGACTAAGTGAAAAGAGATAACCGAATAATAGTGCAGCGGTTAGAGATTGCTTAGGTACGAAAAAGGTCAGGGTTGGCTTTATAACTGCCTGGTTGGAATTATATCTTTAAACAAGCGTCTTTACTTTCCTAAATTCCTCACAATGTTGAAGTTTCTTTAAAGTCCAATGCTGGTAACATACTGAAATTCTGCTTGTCCGCATCTCTTTCTGTTACACATTAATTGGTGTAATGTTATTCCTTTCCCTTTATTAGTGTCCGCTGCAATTCTTACCTGACATCTCTTTTCTATGTTTACGATATTCCCTCTACAAGTCTGTCGTGAGTAAAAGTAGGCGTTCTAACAGCAACTGCTCTAGTCTTGTTAATAAGTTAAAAGAAGAAAGTAAATGCGACAGTTTTATTGCGGACTATACCAATTTTGAACATCGCAACTGTAGTTGATGTAAAAAAGTATATTACTTTTCTTATCAATTGAACCTTTTATTTATTGTAGAATATTGAATATCTGCCCAATGTTTGACATATTTTTGTTTTTAGCAATTTTTAGAGTTTGGAATGTTTCAGTTATGTATTTTTGAGTACCTAAACCTAGTTTTAATGAGACAACTTGCTAGATTTTTTTGTTATTAGAAAACGAATTTATTGTAGTGTATAATTCCCAAATAGATTAGTGAAACGCCCTGTAATTATTCGTAATTCATAGTTTGTTTGCATTAGTAACGACATTAGTGATGTAGCACTTGCACAAAATATAGATAAATTTTGCTTTTTTTACAGGTGCATCGTCATATAACTTTGTTCCTGTTTTACTCGCTCTTTCAACTCTGGGATCGTTGTTTTTAAGTGCAAATTAAAACAAAAAATTATTAGAAACCTTTTTTGTTACTATTTACGAAAATGTGATATTCGCCAAAAACTGTAAATAATATACATATGTATAAATAAGTGTATAAAATAAAAGAAATGTTATTTTGTATAATGTTTACTGTTAACTATTGTACATGTAGTTACGTGTACACTGTAAAACTTTAAAGATGTTAAAAGATACAGTTAATGAAATTGTAAAGATGTTTTGTTAACATTGAGAGTAACTAGTCAGTATTTACAAAATCTTTATGAAACTAATGAATATTAATAAGAATTGTATTGTTTCTACTTTATACAGCACTAAAATGATACATACATACATACATATCTATATATATATATATAGCTACAAAAATAAAACTGTATCAACAACAACTATGATATTTTATTTAAACTATTATCAACTTAAATCTATCTTCTAAAGTTATTAACATATTTACATATTATGTGCAGATATAATACTTATTCGGCAGGAGATAAATAAATAAAGTTAATTAGAAAATTAGCTAATACTGAGAAACAATTTTCTTGAATATGTATTAGCAGATTTATTTAAAAATATTATTAACGTCATTATTGAATGGGTTTAGTCAAAATCGACAAAGAAGGAACATACAGTTAGTGATATTACCCTTATACTTAAATGATAATAAATTTTTTCGCCTGTGATAAATGTTTTACAAAAAAAAAACAAAAGAAACACTTTTGAATGTTGACGAGAAATTAGAAAAATGTACAAATTAAACGAAGTGCTAAGTTTGTTACCATCCATTTGGTGTCCATTTTTCAGACACTTGATAAAATGCACTGTTAACGTATATGTTAGGCCCGAAGACCGAAAACGCTCAGTGGCCGGAAAAAACGGCCACATCGCGTTCTGGCTGCCTTCTAACGCACAGAACGCCGTTTGGCTGTTTTTAAACGCACAGAACGCGTTTTGGCTGTTTTTAAACGCTCGCGACGCGTTCTTAATGTTCGACTTGTACTATTTGCCCCTGTCTACCTGCGTACAATGAGATTTATATTGTACTTACATGAATTTCAATCCATTTTCAGTTTTTAGGAAACAATTGAATTATTAACAACTATAATTGGATACCAAAGATGGGTTCGGTTTTTCTCGCCGAATCATTTCAACAATATTAAATTTCTTATAATTGTTTTTTCAGTTCTAGAAAGAAAGTTACACTGAACACTTATATTGTCGAGCATATGATATATGAATGAATGAATGAAAGTCAAGTTAGTTATTATATACTCAAAATCAATACCTCCTCTAGGAATTATTAGATGTAATTATAATGGAACCTTCTCGAAAAGTTAATTTCTAAAGCTCCTTTATCATTATCATATAGAGTTATCGGTATGTGCATTGTTATAAAATCGCCGGAAAGATCATACAAATTACAAATGATCATAAGTGTACTGTACTGGAATGATTATGAAGGAAAGTTGTACATTTTTAGTACCTTCAGTTTATCACAATAGCTAATAACCGTACACCTATTGTTTAGGTAAGTTGACAAAATCTTAAAATTACAAAAGGTTATTAAAATTTCATTCATTCATATATTATATGCTCGACAATATAAGTGTTCAGTGTAACTTTCTTCCTAGAACTGAAAAACAATTATAAGAAATTTAATATTGTTGAAATGATTTGGCGAGAAAAACCGAACCCATCTTTGGTATCTAATAATAGTTGTCAATAATTTAATTGTTTCCTAAAAACTGAAAAATGGATTGAAATTCATTTGTTTTATAAGTACAATGTAAATCTCATTGTAAGCAGGTAGAAAGCGGCAAATAATACAAGTCGAACATTAAGAACGCGTTGTGAGCGTTCAACAATTGACAAAACGCGTTCCAGCTGTTTAACAGTTACCAGAACGCTTTGCGAGCGTTTAAAAACAGCCAAAACGCGTTCGGTGCGTTCGAAGCCAGCCAGAACGCGATTTGACCGTTTTTTCCGGCCACTTTAACTTTAATTTAAATGATCAAAGATTTAGTTTCTAGACCCATACAAATTGAAATTCTCAAAAAACTCATGAAGTACAGAAAATGGCTAATTAATTCTGACTATGCCTTTTGTCTAGGAAATAGATATATATATAGTTTTACATCTGACTATTTTTCTGTAGTACATTACTGACAATTACATAATATGTATGTTTTACGGTAGTTTACCCATGACGGTCTTATGTATTATGTACATTAATTTGAAAATATTTAATTAGTGGTATTTACATAAAATAAAGTTAGTTACAGCCAAATATTTTTGAATTTTCCTCGGGGGTGAGGTAACTTTCCTTTGTCTAAATTTTTACATTCACTTATGATAAACCTTTAAAAACCATGGCACATTTAAGACACATTTCTTCATCACACTCATATGCAACAACCAATTTCTATACAAATACAGTAAGCTTCCCCAACTATAAGTATTCAATAAAAAGGACAGTTACTATTTTATTTAACCTAAGCATTATTTCTGTAGTTTACCATGCAAGAACCATAAAGAATCTTTTAAACGTTATTCAAAAATGTTTTTTTTGTTGTAGAAATTTATGGATTCTTATTATTATTATTATTAGCTGTGTTTTACTCGAGTAAGCATGCAAATGATAGTCAAATTGGGAAGCTAATGTTTGCAGAACGAAATGCTTTAGCTGTCAAATAATAAGTCAATAATCTAGCTCTAGAGACACCATTATGTTTTCACGTGGAAGTATTGGAATGAAAAAATATAAGCAATGTGAAGACAATGCTTATGAATCAAACATTATTTTCAAAACAAGTATCTATAGTGCATAGCAAGGAATTACTACTGTCTACCCTTACTAAAAGCATACCGTTAGTCCATTTGCGATATTACTAAATACGCCAGCACAAGTCACGCCTACTTACTATCATACGTCTCAACAAAAATCCGATAATATACGCGACACCAGCACCAGTCACTAAATATACTGCACGCCAGCACAGCACAGACAAAATAATATTCCTATCGTAAGCCTATAATCCTAAGCAATCACGTAAAAGTATTCTTCCGTTAATACTTTCAATATTAAAAGAAAATCTGCTAAAACATTACTAATCATAAAAAAAATCACTGATCCATGGAATTTGTTTATCAACTATGACATAAAGCAGCTAATTGTGCTTCCATGTTGCGTTGACATGCAGTATATCAAGTAGTTGCACCAACTACTTGATATACTATACTATATATCGGCACCCGATTTCGGGTATATTTTCGGTTTTTACCTGACTTGTGCGAGTATTATGTATATTTAGTCATATCCCAGCCCGTTTGGTGCATAATATTTAACCACTTACTTATTGATTGTTGCATCTTTATTGATGGGAACACGATTCACGATTACCAATCTGTGTCGTCGTATAATTAAAAAAGGAGACGGTATACCATACACCCAAGTATGTGTCTAAACGGCAAAGTACACCAATCTCTCTTTTTTAAACATTTTCAAAATATTTTAACGATTTAAGGATCAAATTGTACACTCTAAAGTTGTATTGATGACACTTCAGTTCTTTAAGATTCATCTACGATTTACTAGTGTAGGTTACTTTTGCGTGGAACCCTGTAGCATCCGCAGTATATTCAACATGCTGAATCCTGCCATCAGGAAGTTGCACGTGATAATGTCCCTTAGCGCTATTTCCGTTGTTAGTTTCCTCATGTCCAAAGTTATTTTCGCTGTCATAATCTTGCACTTGATATCCAAAGGCATAATTAGTTGCATACTGTAACTTAACAAACTTGTAACTCATTTGAAAATTATTTATAATACGTAACAAAAAATGAATAATCACTAGATAACATTTATACATATTATGGTTTATTTTTTATAGAAATCCTACAGTAGTAGTCACATAACTTAAAAGAATTACAATAAAATAGGAACATCTATTATCACACCACGTATCTCGAGTTAACGAAATAGTATATACTCTGAATGCATGACTTACGAGGGTGGATTGATAAGTTTCCGGCCTAACCAAGAGATGACGCCACTAGGCCTACCTTGAGGTGACATTCTATAGTACCATCCTTGGATAGCTTGTAGCTATAGTTTCAGCCCGATCTCCTTGCTAGTGTAGGTTTGACAGCACGCTGAACAAGACGCCTCTGTGGTTTTCGTAAAAATGGAAAAGCAGGAAAATCGT